TCAAGAAAATACTTGATCTATTTTATCAGGTACTGCTCTGTTATCCAAAACGATATTAGATGATAAAGAGATTACACTAAGATGTGGCAGCAAACTCCTACTGCAGGGACAGTTCTGTAGTTCTCTCTACCTGAGAAAGCCCTACCATAGAAACACAGTGGCAACTGCAAAGTACTTTTAGGGCCTGAGAACACCATGACACCTCCCAGCAGAGTTAAGGGCTTCAATCGGTTTAAGTTATGACATTTGTGATCTACTGGGGGGGAAGGTGATATTACAACACAAGACTAGAACATGAAAAGTAAAGAAGGAAGTACTTAAACTACTCACCAGCTTCTAGTAGGAACAAGATTAGTGGTACATGCTACACTCAGCACCAATTCAAATGCAAATACCATCCTTTCTTTCAAACAATGATAAACTCCCTCAGAGTTAATAGTTTCCTTCCAAGATTCATCTCCCTTTTCAACTTAGTGGTATGTTTTCAAGAAAAGAAAGAAGCACATGGTGAGTCTTACAGCAAGACCTTTTAAATTCTGTCATAAAAGAAGCAGTATAAATCACATTTCCTTTACTAATCCAGTGAACATTTGTTAAACTCTAACACACTTATCACTTTATCCATGCTATTGCATTTAGGCTTCTACCTTACTATGGTTAAAAAAAAAATGAAAGAAATGCTTTAGTTGTACTAAACCATTTTAGCCTTTTCCTTGAACACACAGCAAGAATTTAGACTACATTCACAAAAAGATGAAAGATGAGGTCCTTGGAGAGAAAGGCCTTTCGGTACACTACATGGTAAAGCTGCAGATTTGACATACTTTTATAATGTCTGCTTTGGCAAGAACACAAAAAACCCACACAAAAGCATGCTATGTCCTCCCAGACAGGGGAGCTGGTAGTGGGAATCCCACTTTTGCAAGCATTTACTTTCAAATGCTCAAACTTTAGAGACTGTTTTGATCAGTTACTTTAGACTAACAAATTCTCTTTTTCTACACTAAAAAAAGAGTATGAGAGTTGCACTCAAATTCTTCGCTCTCTAACAAGAAAGGATCTTGGGCTCAGGTCCAACAAGATGCTTGAATGTGTCACATGGTATTTCTGACAAATAATCTGCCTCAGTTGTAATATAATGAAGTTTTGAAAATTTAAAATTATTTCCCAAGTAGTTAATGTGATTTTACTTTCCTTATATACATATTTAATTTAAGACTGCAATTGAATTATTTTTAACTCTCAAAAGAGTTTTGGTGCACAACACAAAATATCTTTCAGCTGAGGTTGAAATAAAACAAAACATCTATTTTAGTCTCTTATTATCTCCTGCATATAACTCCAGTAAACAACAAGAGAGGATCACACACTGAGACACAGGTTGCATTATCAAAATTTACTAAAAGAAGTCTAAAACATCAGTAGCTTTAGTTTAAACATCACTTGCTTAGCAATGGTGCACTTTATTCTTTCTTCTGCAACATGATTTTTCCCAATACCAAAGAAATCACCAGTTTCAGCTACAATTTAAATGGCTACCTTTTAGCCATTTAGTTTTTGGATTTGTGAAGAATCAGTTGCATTAGTGATGAAAAAAGATCACTTATTTCACTTGAGTAATTAAGCATGATCTCTGAATCACAGACAAAATGCAAAACTTACACAATTAAGTTATGTCCAAAACATCCTACTACTTATTGCCGGGTAACAAACTGTATTGCTATTCCCTTATATCTAAGATTTTCCACACCTTTTTAATTAATTAATTCTAAAAATTAATACCTCAAGCAAGGTAAAGTCATACCTGTGAAAACACTAAAACAATCATGATGATCCAAAAAAAAAATTTATTGCATTAAAAAAATCCTCAAATAAGTTCTATAAATATACAAAGAAAAGAGCAAGTGCAGCTTTCAAATACAACAACCAAATTCACATTCTTGGATTTGTGTAACATTCCAATCACCCCATGTGCCAGAAATACACAAACCAATTGAGAATAGATTATCATTATTTCTAAAAATATTTGCTTTTTCAACCTCAATGGTTTTAATGAAATTTTCTCCTAAGACTGTAATAAGGCTACAAATCTTCTGGATGCTCCTGGAGTTCATATTTCTAAAAATAAAATACTAAGATCATCTGAAAATACAGGTTGAAAAGGACCTCAGGAAGTCTCTAGTCCAACCTTCTGCTCCAGGCTGGGTCGGACCAGGTCACTCAGGCTGTGATCCATTCAGGCCTTGACAAAATCCAAGGATGGAGACTACGTAACTTTTCTTCTCCACCTGACCTTGCCCAATATTTGACTTTTCTCTTCGTGAAAAAAATTCTTTCAATACCAATTCAGTTGGGTTCTCTCTTTCCGTTTATGCTGCTGCCTCTCCTGCTGCTGCCGCACAGCACTACAGAGCCTGGCTCTGTCATCCTGAAGAACGCGGAGCCCTGGAAGGCGGCTGTGAGCTCCCACTGAAGCCTTCTCTTTTCCAGGCTCAAAAAGCCCAACTCCCTGAGCCTCTGCTCAGGGTGCAAGTGCTCCAGGCCATCTTGGTGGACCTCTGTTGAACATCAGTTTACTGCCAAAGCACAGCATGGTTACCTTCCTTCTGCTGTCACTCGTCTCGGTACCTAGGAGGGAGCCCTCCACGCAGATCACGTGTGAAGTTGCTTTCACCTGCTCAGAGGCTAATAACCAAACAAACCTTTACTACAAGATTCTGAACAATTATATGAAAAAGCTACTTGAATACATAATTGTCCAGCAGTAGTTAATCTTGATAATAGGAGTCAGCATCTCCTATTTCAACAATATACTTTTCATAAGCAAGCTATGAAATATATTGAGGTTTTTAATTGCAGTTTCCATTTAACAGTTACAGGGAAAATATCCTTTGCTACACATATTTTTGTATTACTAACAAAACACATGCATGTTTTACCATCCTGCAAGCCAGACAACTTCCCACACTAGAATTGTTACAGCTTTGGAGCAATTCGTTTTCCTCAAGTTCATATTAGCTAATTGATGTAAGATTTAACTATAGCTTATATAACTTTATTTATTGATCAACAAATAGTCAATAGCACTATCACATTAGAAGCAGAACTTCAAATATGACCGTCTTAGCTAATTCCAGAATCCATTACACAGGAAGAAAAAGTTATTTAAACATCCCTGACAAGTTGCTCCTTACATCCTTTTTTTCCATCCCAATTTTCTTAAAAGCAACCGCTCCTTTCCATTTGACGTGCTCTCCTCTGACAATAGTAAAACATATTGACATTCTAGGCCTCTTGGCACAGAATAGCTACCAAGAAGGCAAAAAAGGACTACGTGGAGGTCTCTAGGACTGTATTTCTAGAATGGTGCTTTCCCTGGTGCCACAGTACCACACAGCATAACTCTTACAATACAACTATGACACTGTCGAGAACCAAATAATTTAGAAAATAAAGACAAAATACTTGGGGACACACTGATCTAAGATTAAAAGACACCTCTCAATCAGAAAAAAAAAAAAAGGTTGCAAAAGGTTGGAAAGTTTTAAAACTGAGACAGAATTAATAATTTTAGAATGTATTAACTGTAAATATAGTTATTAAAACAATTTATATTTTTTCACTCACTAGAAAATCCATTTCCAAAGATTTTGCACCTATAAACATATACCACAAACCTAAAAAACACAACTAAAGTAAAACTCCCACAGAATCAATTGGTTTATAGAACAAAATGTATACTAAATTTTCCAATTAAAAACCTGTAAAGTAGTTTCAGTGCTTTTTAACCCACCTTCCCACAGCAGGGAATTAATCCCTCTAGGGGGATGCAAACAAACTTCAAAGAGAAGATTATACCCAGACACTAGTACTGTACAATGTAATGTTTATGGTCAAATTTGTTCAGATTTTCTGGCACTAGAATCCAGGTCAGATGAGAAGAAACAAAGACTAGTTATTAAAAGGGCTCCTGCAATTACATCAAATGGCCATGATGGTATATAGCAGCAAGACAAGCCCAAACTGTATTCCATTTACGAGTCCTGTGGATGCTTGGGCACTAAAGAAGAGCTGCAGCTACTTGGCTTATGTTGAAGGCAGCAAACAGAAACACGGGTATACATGAAGGATACGAGCAGCTGTCCAATCAATAAGATTTCAAAATCATATCTACTGGTTCATTATACTATTTATAAAATACACATATGATTGTTTCATAAAGGATCAAAGGGATAGTATTTCAATAATGGTGACTAATCAAGATTACTTAGTTTTGACATCCTTCCTTTTCATAGAATTCTAGAGGCTGACCTTACAAAACAATACCTTGATCTAAATTCTAGAGTTTAGGAATTTCAACCTTTGCTTTTGCTGCCTATTCATATCAGCTTCATCAGGTTTAGAAGAAAGCACAACTCAAAAAAATCACAAATATACTTACGTGTTAATTTCAGTGACTGTGGGACTATTCTAACATAAACAGAAATATTTGTATAAGCTCAACTTGATAACAGGGTTTTGTAAAAGTAATTTGTAAATCAGATCAAAAGCTACTTATAAAACTTATTTCCAAATAATATCACTTAACGAAAGATAGTTTTCAGAAAAGATAGACTATTTCTGTGAATATATAGAAAAGAGGCAATAAAAACAAATGCCACAGAACACAGTACAGAGTATTTATGGTTTAAAACTAACTATACTGTATATGCAGAAGCAAATACAAACCTGGAAATGCATTTATTGCACTAAGTAATTCAATCAATGGAAAGGGTAAGTTTTATTTCTATTTTAAAAGACAAAATATGACAAAAGAGTCAAGTCAGAAAACTGCCCATAATCCTATACACAGAGGAAGGATTCTGTCATTATTAGCCCCAATTTAAAAGACTAAAGCATATTATTGAACATACTTAAGTGTCCACCTCATTGTCTCACAATACAGTTCTGAGGAACAATTTTAGTCAAGAAATAGGTAGAATTCCAGTGCAAAATAGTACCTTTTCCAGTGCAACTGGTTCCTGAACAGATTACTTCAGCATACACTTCAAAGGTAGTTTCTGGATTTTGTCTGCAAAAAAATATATATATTTAGCACATCAAATATTTTCTTCAAGTATATTTTCAGTTGCTCAGGCAAAAAGATTTTAAGAACACATACATTAAAATGATGCATTGATAAAGTAGATTTCCTGTTCTACAGTCTGACTTCATATCAGATCTTTTTGCCTTAAAAAATAAGTACTGAAGCTAAGATCAGTCACTATGAAGGTGTCTAAAAGACTTTGAAGAAAAGAATTAAAAGCAATATGACAACAAAACAAAGTTAAGCACACATATCCTTCAAGTCATTTTAATTGTTTTGACTAGCCTGCATTTCTATAATATCATAGATGCTTCCATCAGAAAGTTTGCTACAAAAAAGAGCAAGCCTTTATTATCAGTTTTCCGAACCGTCCTCAGACAAAGAAACAGAGACACTAAATACCTTTTTTCTTAATGAAACTGAAGGCTCATTGGATAGTGTGGAACAAACTATTTAGATTCCCATTTTGACTACTGTTTCAAATTTGTCACACCTATTTCACAATGCCATTAGTAAAGCTCTGGAAACATACTGCATAAGGAACATGTAAATACAGAGGTGCCTGTACTACAAGGCGTGTTTCTACAGTTAACTTCCTCAATCTAACAAACTTACTCCAAAATTTTTGGTCCAAGAGAATCGTGTATTAGACGTGTATTTTTTTAGCTACCAAAACAAGGATTTTGTACAGTCTGAATACGTGATATTATACTGTAAGGTTTTCTGATTAACATCAAAAAACAAAACTGTACAAATAGTGTCGTATATTTGAAGCTGATCGTATACTGATAATACTCTCTTCTATGTGTTTATGTAAATTATCTAATGTTAAACAAATTGCTGAGATGAAATTTCAAGAGTCTGTGAACTTTATCTCCCTTTCAGCTAAGAAATGAAAATGACAAAAAACAAAACCACCTGTTTTGCTGGTATGCTAGAGCTCCTATCTGAAAAAACAAACAACAACAACAAAAAAAACATCTTAGCATCAAAAACAAACATATAAATGTGTCAAGTTCAATCTACTCTTCAGAGAACTTCTGCTCTTTTCACCCCAGTTTAACACCAAAATCGATGAAACAAAAAAATTCAACACAAAGTTTCACTTAGTGCAACTCAAGTGGCACTAAGCCAAATCCCACACCTATTTAAATCGAGAGAAAAGCTACCATTGGTCTCAGTAGCCCAGGGTCCCATCCCACTGCTTCACAGAGCACCTCTCATGAGCAACAATATAGTTCCCAATTCAATTAATTCTAATTTTATTTGTCAGTGGTCCCTAATTGATTTTCATTTAGTAGCCTTTTTTATTATTTTATTTTTAGAAAATACATGGATAGGTTATGAGAAGTCTGAAAACAAAGCACTTGACCATTAGTTTGCAATACCAAATAAACCTGCATGATTGTCCTTATGCTGCTTAGATCTGCAATAGACAATCTGCTTCAAATACAGATTTTAGTGGCACTCCTACAGTCATGATACAGGATTAGGATGAGCTGATAACCATCTAACACCAGAAATGTATTTTTTCCCTTTAATGTGTAGAGCTGTACAGCCTTATCTTACCCTTGTACTTATTTTTAGCACATTATTTCCTTAATTAAAAGTTTATAAATTTTCAAGTATTTTTACAGCTAAGGGATAAAATAACAAACACCTTGTTAGTATTATGTTAGGGTCTCTGTGTAAATTCTTTAGCGAAAATACTGTTCAACACAGCTGGCAAATAGCACATATTGTATGCCAAAACTTTCAGACAAAAAGACATTAAAGTTTGTATTTTAATATTCCATGACAAAGCTCTAGTCAGTTCTGTGAACAGCAAAATTAAAGTAGCTTTGTCAACTCAGAAAGCCAGTACTAACGACTGAATTCAATAAGCTAACACCTCAGTGTGAAAATGAAGGCACTGTTGAATTCTGAGTATTTTATAAGTTTTTAGTGGAATTAAGAAACAAAGACTTCATACAGCATCATAATATGTATACCTGCACAAAATGGTGTTTTAGAAATCGAAATTTAGGAAGGAGTTGTATGTAAACAGAACTCTTTTGTGATAATGTTCATTATATGGATCTCTTCAAATTCTCTGATATAGAAACAGCTTTAGTTTCAAGGCAATCTACAAGAAATTCAATTGTATATTGAAATAGCATGACAAACAAAATATTTATACACCTTTCACAATCAGAAGTATTACTTTTTACCAAACTGTACATGGTTTATGCAGAATTTCTTTTCTACACATAGGATATGTAACGGCATTTATAACAGACACATTCCAAAAAAAAAAAAAAAAAAGACACATAAGGGAAGAGCCTGAGAGACTGTTTGATAATTAGCTCTCTTGTTACAAGACTTAGTTGCTCAACTCTTGCAGAATAATAATAGAAGTCTATAGTTTTTAATTTTGTTACAGAAAACTTATTTCTGACTCTTACTGATTTCCATCTATTTAATTTATACTGTACGCTATTTCCTGGATAAATAATATTACATCTCAGTATATAGCAAACTTTAAGCTAATCATCTCAAAGCATTTTCAAATTTAATATCAGAAACTTTTCAGTCATCAATGAAATACCGTGTTCCATTCCAGAGGTGGTTTTAAGTGTTTTATGGTACAAAGCAATTCTCATCAACAGAACCAATACTGACACATTAATAATAATAATAATAGAACCACTAACCTTTCTCTTTTCTAATGGGAAATATCTTCAGTACCCATGGCTACCAAGATCTAATAGCAGATAGGTTCACTACGCCCCTTTCTTAGATTACCTCTCTGGCACTCTATGTTTGTGCAAGGCTTTCTGTATCATGCTCTGACACGAAGCTTAGCCATTGCAAAGTAACCCAACGCTCAACTTACCTGGTTTTGGCCTGCAGCTATACACAAACCAAAAGCTTTCAGCATTGCTGATCCTTTCACATCAGTCTGATACAGCTACTGATAATTTCCTCTAAGCAGTCATGACTCATTACTATTCATGCATCAAATATATAGCTGACACACAAGCTATCGCAATGTGTGCTCATCATTATGTGCCAGAAGTTTAATATCTATCATAATTATCAGTCTATAGCAAGAAGCAAGAGATCCAACTTACTTTTTGTTTTGTTTTGTTTTTTAAACTCCGACTACTACACCTACTGGCAATACCACTAGAAGAGGCATGCTTCATTACATCCAACGGTAAAACAGTTTCTCATCCACATATCCTTCATAAGGAAGCTACTTACTGCCTTACTACTCTTTAGGTCAGGCTAACAAAACATACTGTAGACATCTAAAATACTTGTCAGTTTGGGTCAGTTCGATACCCACATATTCGCTTACTTCCTTCACTGCTGAATCCCAACAGTTTGCTGTTGTTAAGTTCTGTAAGAGCTTGAAAAAAGGAAATTTATCAATTGCCCCTCAAGGCAAAGTTACTTAATCACACAGCAGACAAAACACTTCCTCATAAAATCCAAGAGGAATGACAAGTAAGGTTTATATGGGATTATCACCAGTGTTTTCCCAGTGCAAGTAATCTTGAAAGCTGATATACTCACACTGAAACAGACCTTGCACAGAAAATGTCCTTATGCCCACGGATTCTAAAAAAAATATTTTTAAATTGCCACATCTTCCATATCAAGGAGGGTTCTAGTTGAAGCATCTCATCTGAGCAATTTCATTCATCTTCAGCAAGCCATTAAAGATCAAATTAACAAACTTGCAGTAAAAAAAAATATATATATATATATTCTGTGCACTTCCCAAATCTTTGTTGTAGGAAATCATATTGAGCCACAATTTTCAAGTGACCTAAGCAAAGGTGACAGCTCCCAGATCTGGAACTGCAGGTCACAGACATAACCTTCAAACTGCTGTCAAAATGCTGACAGCTTCAGGTTCTACTGTGTACTTTGAATGTAAGCTGAAAGTTGCAGTAGTTGTCAGACTTTGAGCTTTTGTAGAAACAGCAAAGAACATCTACTCCAAAAGTGAAAAAAAAAAAAAAACACATTGCTTTTTGGAACCAACAAATCGCCTCAGCATTATCATTACAAATGTTCATTAACAACACACATTCTCTTAAGACAACAGTACTTTCATATCTATCCCACCTACAGTCTCGGGAACATGAAGATATGTCAGCATTGCAAACTATGTTCGCTCCAGCCTCATATTCAAACTAAACTAAAGAGGGAAAAAGTTCAAACCCTTGGCAATCTTGAAGAATGGCGCATTAAAGAAGGAAAAGCACCTGCAGAAACTGTTTAACAAAATACAAGCTAATTGGATCTCTCAATTCTATCTGCATGTCTTTCACTCACAGACACACCAGCACTCTTGCTGGTGACAGTTTTATTAAAGCTCTGTCTCTGAAACAATTACCCCAGGTTGTCTGAAACAGCCTATGAACAAACTGAGATCTTCAACATGACCAGGCCAAACACAGCAATGGGGCTTACCAATAAACCAACTCCCCATTTTAGAGAAACTTAAAAAAAAAAAAAAAAAAAAAAAAAAAAACTTCGAGCAAGGAGCTACAGGTTGAAGATATTAATCCTTTCCACTCCTTGTCTCCCTCCCCCAAATCCCCTTGTGAATGCACTTGCAAGGCATCAGAGCTAGAAGCAGCGAGGCTTTAAGCTCTCTCCACCCTATTGCACTCCCAGAACAGCAGCAGATGGTGCTGGCAGTGGAGCCCTGTCCAACCCCGCAGTCCCATACTCCCCCAAGCTGCTGCCCTCCCCATCAGGCCCTCCGCACTGTCACAAACCGGACAGCAGGACAGCCGGGACCACCGGGTATGAGGGCGGGAGGCGACACCTCCTCCAGCGCAGTGCAGCGGGCGGCCCGTCCCGCCTTGGACTGGGCTCCATGGAGCAGGGCCTCG